CGGAGGATAATGGAAGATGAATCAATTTTTCAGCTATTAACTGGCGCTCGGATCTTTCTATATACTATTTTACGAAGTAGAGTTAAACGTGCTTTGATGTTGAACACAGTACCTTAAGGCTTGTAACGTCAATGAGGAAATACAGCAAAAAGAAAAAAAAAAGTATTTTGCCATGTAAAATACTGAATGAAGTAAAACTTTATTTATTAATTACCATAAACATGTATAAATACAAAACCAATATCAAATTAATACGGCAAACAAACAGTCCAAAGTATTCTTCTGTAATCTGCAAAAAAAAAAGTACAAAAAATACCTTGTCAAGAACCACACTCTTCCCTGTTTATACTACCTTTAACTTGACAACATTACTATTTTACTGAAAAGTTATCAAGATAACAAGCCGTTACAGTGACAGTAGAATAAAACTCCTAAATTTCACTGTGTAATGCTGCTCTCCTAATCACACTTTTTGGCGCACAATGAAACAGCTACAATTTTCTTGAAGTAAAAACCATCCGCAGGAAAACTGTTTGCCACTTTTACATGTAAATTAATACAGATTATTCATCAACTTATTTATGACCAATAAAGGGAAAGTAAAATTGTGAAGAAATAATCAGAAATTTAGAAAAAAAAAAAAAAAAAAAATCGTGGCTCCAAAAGAAAATAAAGCAAAAAAAAAAAGACGAAAAAAATTAGCAAAACTGTGACAATTATAGACATTTCACCAAAACACTTTTCAGAAGCTTTTGTACAGAGGATCTTCTCCCAACCTCCCCCTTAAAGTTTGTAACGGCCTCTGTGACTTCGCAGCAAAACCGCCCCATTTGTACTTTATTGATGCCCTGGCAAGATGTGCCCTTTCAGAATGTACCTTTCATGACTCCCTTAAACAGAAATGACCCCTGCGCCTACATAATTAACGGGTGAAAAAAGAAAAACCCTGACAGCTTTGACTAAATTGTACTCACTGCATTAATTGTTCCACTTGGTCACTTTCAACAACTTAGCCCAATCTTTACAGCTTGTAATTAGACATAGTTTACAAAACCTTCATTTTTCAGAATTACCAAATTTAAATAAATAACGACAAGAAGGATGAATTTTATGATTCATCTAAAATAAGGAACAAAAGCTAACATTACTTTTAGCCCACACAACAGCAAAATATAAAAAAAAAACTGTGAATCCTATCTTTCGAGTTTCAGAACACACGAAGTTTTCAAGGTACAATTTCTTCCAAGGTACTTCATAATTTAACGCGATACAATTAACTTCGTAGAAGAAAAATAACCGTCATAAAAATATGAAGGCTAAAAAAATGAACATGACAAATAACACGTACAAAATATGAGAATTCATAAAGTAAGAGGCGCTGTATAATGCCTTTTTCCTGGTAATTAAGCTATTATGAAATGCTCATAAGAATGCTACAGAAAGTTTAGCTATAGTAAGCCATGATGAAGATTAAAAAATTGACTATTCATGGACAGAGACCTGATTAACGTCAAAGGAATCAGAAATAAATCTTGCTGATTGCCGCTTAATACCATCAAAAACTCCACAGAAGTATTCTAAAACCGTCAAAGCATTCAGAAAGTGAAGAAGTGCCAGAAATATATAGTATAAACCTGAACTTTTGAGGTCAACCAGTAAGTTTACCAATACAAGATGTACGAGAACCCGACAAAAATGTGTATCAGCCAAAGCAAACTTCGTAACAATGGTCGGAGAAGCCTCACCAAAGAGCGGCAATTTTCATCGAATATTTATAATCTTTTACAGAAAAAAAAAAATTATTGTGTTTCTATTATTCAAATATACATTATTAGTCGTAAAACTGGCAAATCGCCAAGCTGTGTGAATGATGCGGCACAGAAATTCCGTTTTTAGTTGGCTGTGTTCATCTCTGATCACTTAATTTTTTTTTCTGATTCTTGCGCTGCATCTCTCTTACTGCTTGGAGTTGTTTAAAATTTTGTTTTTGCTTATGGACGCAGTTAGAAGCCTTTATTTACAAAAATTAATTTATTTGATGTTAATTATTTTATGGCACTTTGATTATACCACCTGTTGATTCCCGGTTTTTGCTAGTGTCGCGTTGGCTAGCGCCACTACTGATGGATATGTTTTGCGAAAAGAATTTGCCAAATTTTTCTTTAAATTCATGAGTTTTTTTACGAATTTTAACGTACTCTTTCGTTACCCTTCCAGTTTTTTCGGGGCTTATTTTGAATGAATCGAGGAGACAGCGAGAACTCAAGTTCTGCAGAATCAAAGAAAAGCCCCGATACTACTGATCGTAAAAAAGCAACACATTTGAGATGTGAACGGCAGCGAAGAGAAGCTATAAATGTAAATGAAAGTTTTTATTCGGTGTTTGAAACTTATTTTTTCTATACTGCCAAAATGCAGCTACTTTTTTCACTTTCCTTTTTTCTTAATTTTGTTTTTTATTTTTTTTTTTTTAGAATGGATATCAAGAGCTGAAAGAATTGTTACCAGCATCGTTCTCTTCAATTGGATGTAAAACTACAAATGCTCTCATTTTATTTAGAGCTGCCGATTACCTCAACCAGCTAAAGGCTGATGTCGATAATACTCAGTCTAAGCTTACACAACTTTTAGCACAGGTTTTTATACCAGTTTTGTTGTACATATTTCTTTTTTTGACTCTTCTTTGCTGACCTGCGCTGGAAAAGAAGTAAAAAATGGGGATTTTTTAAGAGTAGAAAAATGCAATAGTGAAAAAAATGTACGATATTGTAACCGAATTAAGGTAGTACATGGTAGCACCAGTTTAATAATTCAAAGAGGAAAAAGGAGAGTTTGACCATGAGCAAGATTCATGAATTTTGAAAATAAAATTTTTAAATTTAGCGAAAACACATGCAAACTAATGTTTAACATTCCTCGCCAAATGTTAATGAAATTCTTAGTAAAATCTTAAGGTAAGACTGGGGCACTGGGCGATATTATATTAATTTATCTTTTTCCTCATGACAGTTTTTAGTTTCTGTTGCTCGGTCTTGTCGATCTTTCTATTTCTCAGTGTGAAATTATAGGTACAAGCATTAGAATTAATAGCGGCACAGTACGAGAACATGTCAGCAGAAACTTCCGTGGCAAATAAAAGTTCACTGCAATGCCGAATGGTTTGTATTCCTTATTCTGCCATTCACCAATAATTTTTTTTTTTTTTTTTTTTTAT